TAGACCAGACTTCCTGTGAGCAGGGCCACGCAGTTGGTGGGCTGGTGGTTGTGCAGGTACTGGAAGCCCCAGCCCCGGACGTAGGACTTCTCGTACATGAGGCGCGAGGCGTTGCCGATCACCTGCAGGAAGCGCTCCTGCTGCCCTTTGCTCAGGTACTCGAACAGGAAGTCGTAGGCCGTGGCGAAGCCCACCAGCGAGTGCGCCAGAGGAACCTCGTCCCAGGGGGCGTCTTTCACCAGCCTGAAACACACGCAGCAGACACAGAGTTACACACACTGAGCGGAGAAAACAGGAGTCCAAAACATCCCAGCTAACGGCGCCTTAGCCTTTCCTTCCAGTATTACGGCTGAGTCAGCTACACTAAGAAGAAAAGAAAGCTCCCAATGAGCGTTTTGCAAAAAAACGCAAACCAGCCGGCAGGAGAAAATGCCGATCCAGACTCCCGATCCATTTTTTTTTTTTAAAGTCCGATCCCACATGAGCATTAGCATTAGCATCTGTAACCACAGGTCTGTGTCCTAACCATTAAGTTGTTATCAGAGTAAATCCCTGTTCAACATGAGTCTGACAACTAAGTAAGTAGGCTAAATAACTTTAGACTTTAATACATGCTCTGATAGGCCGGGATCGGGATCGTATCGGAAGTTAAAAAAGCTTGAGAGGGGCAGGTGGTTTCCCTGACTTTGGTCATTGTCTGGACAGCCATTAATTAAGAGGAAACTGAGTCGTTCATAAATCCCTCTGCTGAAAGTGTGCAGAAGTGTGCAGAAACAGCCGATGAATGGACCAATCAGATCCACACAAATTACCTACGAGCACACGGGTCTTGACCCCGTTTCCGGGCTGATCTGGGGCTGCTTTTCAGGGATGTTTAGGAGAAATGGAAATCTGTTTATGTGCGTCTGCGACCACATTCTGGCCGGCGCAGCAAACCTGACTGTTTGCTATCATAAAAAAAAAAACTGTGTGCACTGACACACTCCCCAGTAGCGCTGAGATGCTAAGCCAGAGACCAGAGTTCGGTTTTGAACATTAGCACGAGCCAGAAGATTCCCTCAGACCCCTGGCACCGGAAAGATCAAACACCCTCCACGAGGACCGGCCTGAGAGATCCTCGGGCAGAGACCGGGTGCTTTGCTCAGGCTGAGGGTCAGAATGGTTCAGGTCTGCTGGTTTCTGCTGAAAAGTGCGTGGGATCATGGCGGCGCGATGCCGTCTGCTCGGGCCGATTAAAAAAAAAAAACCTGGCAGCAAAGCGAGGCCCGTCGCTGGAGCCGCCGCACACATAATTGAGGGTTGTGAATACCGCAGCCGACTGATCCTGGAGCCGCTCGGCAGAGGCCGTGAGAGGTTCAGTGACCATAATAAAAGTGCGGCCAAGGAGAAAAAACTCACAGTGTGCTCTGGAGATGTGAAAACACATGCTCAGTGGCTTTTCCCCTCTGCACCGATACGGGGAAAAATGCCTCGTGAATTGCACTAATGCCACTCAGTCTGACCCCCCCCCTCACACACACACACACACACATACACACACACACACACACACACACA